AAACACAAGGAGGGGTTGCTATGTATCAAATTGACTCAATGGCCGTGAGCTTTACAGCATTATACTTCAGGATAGATCTTGAAATGTTCTTTTTGACAATGAATGAGACACTGTTGCTCTTCAATTTGTCATTCCAAGCATAGTAAACTATATGATTATTTGATTGAAAATGGCCCAAACCAGTCCATTTCAGCTAACTAATGGCTAGGGTATCAATCTTTAAGTGCTACATTTCATTTTTGACCATTCCCAATTTTCCTTAATTCATACTTTGTACATTCCATGTTCTGATTATTAATGATGTTTGCAGCTGTTTCTTCTCACTTTGAGTCATACCCTATCAACAAATGAAGGTCCCAAAAGCTTCACTCGATCCATATCATTAAGGTGGGCTCTACTTTGAGAGGCAGCTCTTCTCCAGCAGCATACTGAGTACCTTCCAACTTGGCAGGCTCACCTTCTGGCACCATATCAGACAGTGTTTCACTACTCTTTGTAAGGTTTTCACTGGCCAATTTTTTAGAAGTATATTGCCATGCCCTTCTTCCTAGTCCATCTTAGTGCCACTGAAACCTGTCCACAATTAGTGACCCTGCAGGAATTTGATATACTGGTGGCATAGCTTCCAGAATCACAGCAACACACAAGCCACCATAGTATGACAGACTGACAGACAAGCAGGAGATCCCTCCCATAGCATTGCTAATGATTCATGAAAATAATTTTTTCTTTTCTCCCACAGAGCAGCTAGTAGGTTCAAACTGCCAATCTTTTGGTTAACAGCCAATTGCTTTAACCACTGCTCCACCAGGGCTCCATGGAATTGGGGGTAAGCCACCATTTACTGAGCTCATGTTAAACTGCCAGGCTCATCGCAAAACATGTTAGACACACTATTGTCTATTTAATCCTCTCAGCAATTCTGAGTGTCCTATTATTAAAGACCTGGTGATCTACACTCATAAAGGTCACAGCCTAGGAAACCCTATGAGACTGCTTTATTTTGTCCTCTAGGGTCACTATTAATCACAATTGACCAAATAGCAACAGATAACCCCTAACTCCAATAATAATAATAATAATAATAAACCTCAAAAAGATTTCCATGATTCCCAGAGTAAGGGTGAGATGCATGAGAGTCCACAGGCAGTCTGGGTGATTCCAGACTCCCAAGGTGCTTCTACTTCCTCACTTAATGCAAGAAAGGAACTCAAGCCAAACCCCAAACTAAACCACTTCCATCAAGGAGATTCCAACTCATAGTGACCCTTTAGGACAGAGTAGAACTGCTCCATAGGTTTTCCAAGGCTATAATTTTTACAGAAGCAGACTGCCTCATCTTTCTCTCATGGAGCAGTTAGTGGGTTCAAACTGTTGACCTTTTGGTTAACAGCTGAATGCTTTATCCACTATGCCACCAGAGCTCCTTGGAAAGGGAATTAGCATTTATTAAGTGCCTACTGTATGTAACATACTGTGCGCAGTTCTGAGAATTCCCACTTTGCAAATGAGGAAAGTCAAACTCAGAAGTTCCAACACTTGTTCAAGGTCGCTAGGCCAGAGAGGACAGATGTGAGACCCAGTCCTCAAAAGGCCCAAGTCCATAGCCCACCTCACTACTCTCCCTCCTCATTGACCCAGAGCCACATGCTTGAGGATTTGTAGGAGGTTCTTGTAGACAAGGGACAATGTCTAGCATGGAATCAACTCATGTAGATTTGGTAAAATCAAATCACTTAAAAAACATGAAGTTCCTCTGCTGAAGGAATAGTCACAGGCATGAATAAATGCAGAATATTTTTTATTGGCTTTTGTCTTCTTTTGAGGTCAGCTTTTGCCAGCTCTTTTCACAGGGGGAATGAATGAAGGAGAGGGCAGCTAGCATCTGAGTCCCTAACATATCACCAAGACCTTGACTATTTCCCTCCTCCACAGCAGCATGTCTGGGAATATTAAGCCTCTGCAACAAGCTGTAAACAATAAGTAACTATTTCGTTCTTTCCCCATCTATCAATCAGCTTGAACCACATGAAATTGTTATTCTTGTGGCTCAGAAATGGTTGACTATCACTCAGTTCAACTTAAATGTTATTGAGGTTACAGCCCAAGGTTCCTCTCTGTGAAAAAGGGCATTCCAACATAGAATGCAGACAGCATACAATTTCCCTGGGGTTGAGAACTCCATAACAACAAAGTTGGCCCAGATTGGATACCCTTAGACCCCTTTATCCACAAACAGTAGAGTGAGATGGGCCGATAAATAAAGCAGAGGTTGGGCAAGAAGAAGCTAAGCTCTGGGTGGGTGGGCCTTCACCTAGCCGACTAGGGAAAGATAACTCGGGCATTTTTTGTAGTTGTCCTATTGATGCTCCATCTCAGGAGGGTGTGAAAACTCCCTTGGCTAAACAAGTGTAAGCTTTGGTTTTGGTTGTGGTGGGGAGGGAGGGACTGTCAACTCGGCAGGGTCTCTGAGGTCCTGTTTGCGGTATCACAAGGAAGAAGAGGAGGTGCCCAGGGGATAAGTGTGAACAGCCTGCCCTGTAGCCCTTGGGATACATGAGCACCCAGTACAGGCTGGGAAGAGAGGGAGAATGACAGTTTTTACTTCCCAATTTGTGTGGAAATGTCTTCTCATTCAATTCCTGCTCAGAAATACACAGGAGATAAGAATGGGGTGGGGTGGGGAGCCAGGCCCAGCTGAAGTGCAGGGGTGGTAATTATGGGGTTGATTAGCCATTCTAGATCCAGCATAGCAGGCTAACTGAGCATAGTCCTCCACCTTGGCTCAGTCAGTCCTGGTTGGTTAATGACACTTCCTCCCCAGCCAATTTGAGGTTGCAGGATGACCACTCCTCCAAGTTTGTGTGGGACTGAGGGGTCCCCAGGTAGCACAAGCATTTTGCAATTGGCTACTGACCTAAAGGTGAGCAGTTCCAACCCACCCAGCTGCTCCACAGAAGAAAGGTCTTTTGATCTGCTGCAGTAAGATTATGACAAAAAAAAAAAAAGTATTTATATTCTGTCACACATGGTGTCACTATTAGTTGTGATCAACTTGATGGAACAGATTTGAGGGGTTTCCAGGATGTGAGACTTTCAGTGTGAAAACCAGGCAAGTTATAGGAAAACCAGGGCAAGATAGTCATCTTATCTGACTTTGTGTCTGATCTCTGCTAAGGAAGGGAAGGACTTGATTTTAAAAGAAAGAGAAATGGGTCTCAGAAAACAAAGATGAGGGCTTCTGGGTGTTGGTCTGATGAAAGCTTGGGGAGAGAGCATAAGATATTTCTCTAATGAGGGGCCAGAGGATGGAGAAGGTGGAAATAAAGGAAGGGGAGAGAATTGGAGATTTGCTTTGGGGAAGTTTGTACTAGAAGTGTGAATTATGGCTGCAGTCCCCACTCCTGCTCATGGTTCTCCCTGCCCCTGTCCATACACTGGACAAGCTAGCTTTGGGGAAGACTTATTTTATATAATATTTTATTCTGTTTTTGGTAAAAGTTTATACAGCAAATTATGTTCCCATTTAACAATGTCTATACATATTGCTTGGGAGCTCTGGTGATGTAGTGGTTAAGGCATTTGGCTGCTAGCCAAAAGGTTGGTGGTTCGAACCTACCAGCTGCTCTGTGGAAGAAAGATGAGGCAGTCTGCTTCCAGAGTTACAGCCTTGGAAACCCAACAGGGGTTGCTATGAGTCAGAATCAACTCGATAGCAGTGAATTTGGTTTAGTTTTTGGTATACACATTACTCAGTGACATTGGTTACATTTTTTGCAATGCTTCAGCATTCTCATTATTTCCATTCTGGTTGTTCTGTTTCCATTAATCTAACTCCCTTGCCCCTCTTTACCTTCTTGGGAAGACTTTTGAAAGTAAAAGAAGAAAAGATGCAGCTCAAGCTTCAAAAGGTCTAGCTTCACGTAAGAGCTGAGCCACTCACTGTGTGGCTTTGGGCAAGTCACTGAGCCTCTCAGAGACCTGGTTTCCTTTTCTGTCAAATGAATCTATTACAGCTTCCATCATAAGACAGTTGTGGGATTAAATAAGATGGCATCTGTGAATTTGGGAAAACTATTGGTTGGGTTGTTGTTCTTAGTTATCATCAAGTCAATTCCAACTCATGGCAACCCCATGTGTTACAGAGTAGAACTGCCCAATAGGGTTTTCTTTGCTATATTATCAGTGGAAGCAGACTTCCAGGCCTTTCTTCCACAATACTGCTGGATGGGTTCAAATCTCCAACCTTTAGGTTGTCGGTTGAGCACAAACCGTCTGCACCACACCCAAACACTATTTATTTTTCTCTGACTGTCGATATATATGAGACCAGACAATTCCAAATGTGTCCCTCTGTTCTGGTTACCTAGTGCCACTCTGACAAGAAATATACCACAAATGGGATGACCTTAACAAACAGGAGTTTATTATTACAATTTGGAGGCTTTAAGTCCAAGTTCAAAGTGCCAAACTCTAGGCGCTGGGTGAAAGCCCCTCAACCTTGGGGTCCAGCTCTGCCTCCTGCTCCCAGCCCACTGGAGCTAGAGGCATTTCTTCACTCAGACCGCTGCTGGCTGCTGAGGCTGAGAAGCCCCAAGGTTGACAAGTAAAAAGGCTTAGTCCCGATGTTACCAAACCACACGGCAGGTCATTAACTTAAGTCCACTGTAAGTCCTGAGGTCAGCAGAGCATAGCAGGCTGCTGAGCAACAACATGGCTACATGCAGGGTCCAAGTGTGCCATAGGCTAGAGACAATTCCCAAAGCTGTTTCTTATATACAGGAAGCAGACCACATACCCAAAGTATCTACTTAGCTGCTTGTGGTAGATCCCACCATGGAGTTGATTGCCAGTCTCATCATGGGGAATAACTACCACCAGCTGCTCAGCCACTCAACCAGACCCAGCCCAGTTGACACAAAGACATAACAACCACCACCACCACACCCTCTGAGAACTAATGCTTTTACTTGTTTTCCTTTCTGATCCAGGCTCTCACTATGTCCATCCCCTCCCTTGAACCAACTCTGGAAAGCTTTGAGTATGATGAGGATGCTGAAGCCTGTTATGAGGGTGACATTGTGGACTTTGGGACTGTCTTCCTGCCCATATTCTACTCGTTTGTCTTCGCCTTTGGCCTGGTGGGAAATTTGCTGGTGGTATTTGCCCTCACCCACAGCCGGAAGCCCAGGAGCATTACTGACATTTATCTCCTCAACCTGGCTTTGTCTGACCTGCTCTTTGTAGCCACCTTGCCCTTCTGGATTCACTATGTGATAAGTGACCAAGGCTTCAACAATGCTGTGTGCAAACTCATTACAGCCTTCTTCTTCATTGGCTTTTTTGGGGGCATATTCTTCATCACTGTCATCAGTATAGATAGGTACCTGGCCATTGTCCTGGCCGCTAACTCCATGAACAACAGGACCGTGCAGCATGGTGTCACCATCAGCCTTGGTGTCTGGGCAGCAGCTATTCTGGTGGCAGCACCCCAGTTCATGTTCACAAAGCAGAAAGAAGGCGAATGTCTTGGTGACTACCCTGAGGTCCTTGAGGAAATCTGGCCTGTGCTTCGCAACGTGGAAGCCAATGTTTTTGGCTTCCTGCTCCCCCTGCTTGTTATGAGTTACTGCTACTTCAGAATCATCTGCACACTGTTTTCCTGCAAGAACCACAAGAAAGCTAAAGCCATTAAACTGGTCTTTCTGGTAGTGATTGTGTTTTTCTTGTTCTGGACACCCTACAATGTCATGATTTTCCTAGAGACACTCAAACTCTACCACTTCTTTCCCAGCTGTGACATGAAGAGGGACCTGAGATTGGCCCTCAGTGTGACCGAGACGATTGCATTTAGCCACTGTTGCCTCAATCCCCTGATCTATGCATTTGCTGGAGAGAAGTTCAGAAGATACCTTTACCACCTGTACAGGAAATGCCTGGCTGTCCTGTGCGGCCGTTCGGTCCATGTCAGTCTCTCCCCGTCAGAATCACAAACAAGCCGTCGAGAAAGTGTTCTGAGCAGCAACTTCACTCACTACACGAATGATGGAGATACATCCATCCACCTCTGAAGGGAGCCCTGAAACCATGTCCCCACAGAAAGCCTGGAGCCCCTGAGTCTGACACAGAATAATGAGGACAGTTTTGTGTTTGTTTGTGCTTTGCATGCAAGAAATGATTAACTCAATGACCTAAAAACAACCCTAGAATGTTTTTGAGAATTGTGTTCAAAATTTGAATGATAAGGGGTAGTAGACATGTCTCTTGCTGCAAATGTCAGGGATTTTTTTGTTTATAAATGACAAGAAAAGTGTTTCAAAGTTTCAACCCAGACAGCTTAGCTAAGAAAGGTGGTAGTGTGAAATGGGCAAAGGGTTGGCTGAGGCCTCAGAGAGGCTGGAAACCAGGGCTCAAATTCAGCTAGAATTTCCTTTCTCTGATTCTCAGATCTCTCTGAGTTAAATCTTGCAGACTTACATAGCATAGTTTTGTCATCAAAGAAGGACTGAGAATTTCAAATTCTTGGAGACTCCAGACTTCCTGGATCCATGAAGACTGGATGGACCCCTGAAACTATGGCCCGAAGATAATCCTTAAAACTTAAACCAAAAATATCCCATGATGTCATCTTAAAACAAACCAATAGTTTAACTTAACTATAAAAAATGTCTGCCTTGAGCATTATTACCTTTTGAGAACTATCTAGCTCTGGTAGCATAGTTACAAAGGCATCTAACTGCTAACCAGAAGGCTGGCAGTTCAAAACCACCAGCCACTCTTCAGAAGGAAGGTTGGGCAATATACTTCTGTATTAATACCACCTTGGAAAGCCAAGGAGGGTTCACTATGAGTCGAATCTGACTTCACGGCAGTTAGTTTTTTTTGTTTTTTTTTTCCATATGGGATCAAATTGAACCTAAGGGGGCAGTAAGTTTATGTTAATGGGGGAGGAACAACTCAGAAAAGGAGGGTGAGAATGGTTATACAACCTGAAGGATGTAATCAGTGTTACTGAATTGTACATGTAGAAACTATTGAATTGATGTATGTTTTGCTGTGTATATTCTCAACAACAATAACAAAATAAATAAAATTTGAAAAAATAAAAGAGGGACTGAAATCCATCCCTTTCTGGTCTCAGTGTCCAAATTCAAGGGAAGGGCTCTGATTGGCCAAGTTTATTTCAATGTTCATCCCTGAACCAGGCAGTGGTATCATCAAAGAAAGGTTATAAGAGATTGCAGTTGCCATTTCAATCTCATGGTTAGAGGTGGTGGGAGATATATTTTCAAGAAGTTGGAGGGGTAGGTGCTATTTTGAGCAAATTGAACAAGAACTATCCACCAAACTTACCATATGCCTGGCCCCAGTCTCTACCCTTACACCAACATGCACACAATGCCAGCCTCTTCTTCATTAAGCCCCTTTTATCATGTCTCCAAACCAACAAAGTTTCCTCACTGCTCCTTGTATCAAGTCCAAACTCAAATGCTTTGATTCTGAGACCCTCCATCATGTGGTCTACCAACAGATCCCCATTGCTTTCCTTGTTTCCAAAGGACTCTATCCACCATCTCAGCCAGATCTCTTCCAGGCAGCCCCATGTGTCTCCATCTGCTCCTAAACTCAGGAGGAGAAATAGAAAGAACTCTGATCCAAAATAAGAAGGGCTGGGTTCCAGTCCCAACTTGGTTGCTTGCCCACTGAATAGCTTGGGACCAAGCAAGCTTCAGATTCCCTCATCTGTAGTAAGGATAATGGTACCTCTCACATATGGAGCACCCTTCTCCACCTGAAGAACCATCTACCCACTCTTACAGATCCCAACTCTCTTGTCTGGCTCCCAGAATGCAGCTTCACATACACACACAAACACACACATACACACTCACACACCCCGACACCACTGCAACCATTCCAAAGGGATAGTGCTGAGAGAGCTTGGAGGAGCCTGCAGCTTCTGTATTATACTGCATGTTGGGGCCTAGACACAGAGGGAGCTGGTTTCTACAGTGCCAGTCAATGAACACTCTAGATCTATAGACCAATGGCCCCACCCTCCCAGACTGCCTCAAATATTCCTTCCCAGTCACCTCATGCCAAGCCTCCATCCATCTCAAGAGAGCCCTCAACATTCCTGCTTCTGCCAACATGGACAGCCTGGGCCACAGGAGCAACTTTCTTTTTTTCAGTAAACATTTGGATTGGTCTAAAACTTTAAAGTTTGAGAAACGATTATAATAATGCTCAAGAAAATATCATTCATAAATCTAGCCATACAATATTTTCATTCCTGCACTTGCCCATCTACACCTTGCTCACATGCATACATATTTAGAGTTGAATCATAATGTACAGACAGTTTCATAATCTGCTTTATTTTCCTCTTTACATTAGACCCCAAATCACTTTCTGTTTCTATGCAGTTTTGTAATTATCATTGCAGATGCTACCAGATTGTGGACACATTGAAGGCAGAAGTATCTGATTCATTGCTGTTTTTTTCTGATACCTCCTTGACAGTATGGTTGTTCAATGACTGAAAGAATGAATTAGTCTGGTTCCATCAAGATCATGTACCATTATTTACTCACCATTGCTCTGTTGATAAGCATTTAACTTGCGTCCAATATTTCGCAAATATGGATTTTACAGCACTTTCATCTGTGTAATTTCCTTTTTCCAGTTGAACTATTTCCTTTGGATAAATTCCTTGCCATGAGGGTAACTGGGTCAAAGGGGATGGAAACTTTAGCTTCTAGTACATACATACGTTGTTGTTGTTATATGTGCCGTCGAGTTGGCTCTGACTCATAGTGACCCCTCTTTGGGTTTTTGAGGCAGTATCACTATGGAAGTAGATTGCCCCATCTTCCTTCCGAGGAGTGGCTGGTGGGTTTGAACTGCCAGCCTTCTGGTTAGCAGTCAAGTGCCTTAGGCACTACGCTACCAGAGCTCCCAGTACATACATATAAGATGCGTATATTGCAAAATTTTTGTTGAGCATGTACTATATGCAACATGTGAGCTAGGATCCAGAGTGGTTCCAAAGATGAATCAGAATAGGCCTCTGCCCTCAATGATTTAACATTTAAATGTAGAAAAAAGGAGTGTACAAATAAACATACTTTGCATTAAGTGGTAGAGAAGGGGTAAATTTATATGATGTGAGTCTTTAAGCAAAGATGATGGTATTCCAGGTCAAGTGAATAGGGAATGCATGGGCAGGAGATGTGTGAGAGTCTGAGCACCTTTTTTTCAATTGTGATTTGGGTGAACATTTAGAGAGCAAATTCCTTTTCCATCCATACACATTTTGTTTTCTGGCACTGATTGCAATCCCCACAACAGAACAGCTCTCTTCCCACTTCCTCCCCGTGGATGTTTTTCCTGTCTCCTTCTTTCTTGTACATTTCTGCCCCTGAGCTATCTCCCTGCACAAATACTGTCCTTCTGATCTCTCATGGCTGATTGTTTTAAGGAGTGCACCTTCCTGGTGTAATCCGTTCAACTCACCGACCTGTCTATTGTTTGGCTAGAATTTAAGCCACGTGAGTGAGTTCAATTCCAGACCTGAAGAGTGACTAAGGGCCATAGTCTTGGAGATCTCACCAGTCTCCATTAGACCAGTAAGCCTGGTCTTTTTATCATTTTGAGTTTTGTTCCAAATTTTTTTTCTACTCTACCAATGATCTCCTATTTTGATCCCTTTCTGAGTGGTTGGCAGTGGTAGCTGGACACCATCTAGTTCTTCTGGTCTTAGGGTCATGTAGGCTGAGGTTCCCATGGCCCACTAGTTCCTTGGACTAAGTGTGTTCATACAGCTTTGATTTTCTTCACTCGTCTTTGCTCCAGACAAGGAGAAATCAATTGTTGCATCTTAGGTGGCTACTTGCAAGCTTTTAAGATTCCAGTAACAACTCACCAAAGTAGGATGTAGAACAACGTTTTTGTGTAGTATGTCATGCCAATTGAACTTGATGTACCCTGTGACCATGGTCCCAAACCATGGGCCCAGTGACTCACTCCCTCAAGGTGTTTGGCTGTGGCTAATTTATCAAAACTTACCCCCTATTAGGTCTATGATACATATGGACATTCTTATAGTACACATGAATATGTGTGTAGAAATTTCATCTGTCAAGCTTATATATGGTCATGGATATATTCCCTTTTGCCTACCCATATCTGATCATTTTGCATATCTATGTGTCCACCCATAGATTAATGTTTGTTATTACTGATAACGCAGTATTGTGTATATAAAAGTATTTACCTTTGTTGTCTGTGTCTCTTATGCATCTCTCTGTGTCTTGCTTTTCCTTGATGATATTGTGCTGGTCACTAGCTTTTGGTATACTGCCTTTCCTTTCACCCAAATTAATACATGTCTTCTACCTAGCTACCAATTTTTACTCCCTTCGCCACCACTCTCATCTCTGGTAACCAAAAAAAAAAAAAAAGTTTTCTTCTGTGCGTAAGCCTTTCCTTAACTTATTACAGTAGTGAACTCATGCAGTATTTGTCCTTCCAGGAATGATATTTCACTCAGTATACTGTTCTCCAAGTGTTTTGTGGATTCTTCATTATTCTTTAGTATTATACAGTATTTCATTGTGTATATGCACAGTAGTTTGTTTATCCATTCATCTATTGATAGGCACTGAAGTTGTTTCCACCTCTTTGCTATTGTGAATATTGCTGTGATGAAAATGGATATACATATATCTATTTATGCCCCATTTCTCACTTCTTCAGGATATATACCTAGTAGTGGAATTGCTGGATCAAATGATATTTCTATTACTAACTTTTTAAGGAAGCACCATACCATTTTCCATGGTAGTTGTACCATTTTACAGTCCCACTAGCATTGTATGGGGGTTCCAATCTCTCCACACCCTTGCACATTTGTTATTTATGAGTCTGAGCACCTTATGATGTGGAAAAATACTTGTGTGGTTATTGAAAGGTGTTGGGAGCAGAGTGGGTGGTGGGAACCTTCTGGAGTCAGATAGTTAGCTGTGGATGTTGGTTCAAACGATGGAGGGGTCAGTTCTCAGGTGTTTAT